AACCACAAACAGAGCAAGGACATAAAAGAAGTAGAGAAAAAGGAAACCAAGAATTCTTAAAAATGCTTAAGGAAGATTATGGTTACCCAGATACTCTTGACTTTAGTGACAGATATAAAGAAGCTATTAGAAAGTTCAAGGAAGGAAATACTGACCCGAACCTATTTAGCTTTATGGTTCAGCACCAAATGGGATATAATTTCAAACCTGGAAAATACAATCTCGCTAAGGGATATGATTTAATAGCATATCATCCAAATGACATGAATGAATTTACTCCGAGATATTTGGTGTCAGAGCTAAATGATAATTCAACTCTCTTCATGAAACGCGTAAAAAATAGAGACGGAACGAAAGAAGAAAGGTTTATGAGTCCGGATGACTTAGATAGGGAACTTGTTAAAAACGGTCTCGGAATATATGAAATGCCAGCAGATGAGGTACAAGAAACTCCACAGGAAGAAGTTCAGATACAACCAGACATGGAAGAAATAGTTCAGCAACAACAGCTAGAAGAGCCTGAAGGAAACGAACAAGTCCCTCCTTTGGAAACTAACTTCACAGAACTAGATGAAGATTTGGAACAGCCGAAAAATCTTGACCCTCAACAAGAGTATGCGGAGAATATGGAATCTTTCCAAGAGTCTAAGAAAAATTCGGCTGACATAGTAGAAGAATATCGAAAAATTTTCACCGACATACAAAAGACTCCAACACCAGATGAAAATATTCAGCATAGAATGGAAGTACTGAAGAAAATGTACGCAAATACAACAATCCTTTTTACTTACGACCATATAACGTTCAATCTTTGGCTGAACTCGGTGAAAAAAAAGGTTAAATTTCAACAAAACATATAGAAATGAAACATTGTTTAAAGTTCATTCAGAACCTAACCAAGATGGAAACAAACCTACTTTTGTTTCTGCAGACTATGGAACTACAATGAGATGGGTCATAAAGCTAATCCGGATAGGTGGTTCATAAACTTACAACCACAATTCAAGAAGTTGTAGACGCAATGGAAGTGAATGGTGAACCAGATATAGCTGGTATTTTCAGCGCGGCTTTAATGCCATTGAAAGATATGAAACATGCAGATATTTTGGACCAGTATGAAATGAACATGGCTGAAGGAAATATAACACCTGACGTTCTAGAACATTTATCTCAAAGAACTACACAGAACCATAGAGATGGTATATTTGGTGAAGAGTTTAGAAAGAAAGTTAGGGAGAAAGAAGGAAGAGAACCTATTGTACATGACCTTGCAAACGAAAGTTTGCAAAATGTCATAAAAACTTACTTTGCAGACAATGAACTGAGAAGGGATGAATATTTAAGAAAACTCAAACGGACAGTACCAAATGAAATGTTAGTATTGAAAAACATGTTCCGTGACAAAATAAAACCAACTACAGAAATAAATGACGCAAGACTGAAACGTTGGGTAAAAGCTTTCCCATTCACAAAAGATATTATTGGTAACATGGAAAGAAAACCAGAATGGCTACAAAAACATATATTTGGAAACGAGCTTATTCCATATGGACAAGCTCTGTTTGAAGAGCTTGAACCGGAAACTCAGGAAAGAGTCATGCAAACAATACGCGAAGACTCAAATACAAACTATGACAAAATCTTTCTAGGATATAGGTTACCTGAGATGGGCGACCAGAGCCCAAAGGCAAAAAGGACATGGGAAATTTACAACATACTAGGTGAACATGAGGCAAAGATGCAACAACTTGAAGCAGAGGGCAAGTTACCAAAAGCGACACCAAAGAAGAAGAGAAGAGTAGAACAAAGTGAAAGTAGTGAAGAAGTAACTTCATCTAGTGAAAGTAGTGGCAATGAAGGAAAAAGAAGAGTTAAAAACTCAGTCAGGAAGAAAGTAAAGCTTTGTCCGAGTGGGTTCTATTATGATATATAAATCCAACTATTCTATATTTTTACCCATATGAAATGTACGCCGCTCAGAATATAACGCCAACAGTTTTGGATGCTATGAATGGAAATGTTTCCGAATGGTATAACGAATGCGACAATGCCATTAGAAGGTCAGAAATAGTTCCTGGAACTTACGAATATACAACTGCTGTTTCTTATGGAAACGTAGGTGAGTTTGGAGAAGGTTCTTCAACAACAGTAGATATTGCTTGCGACAGGTTTCATATTATTTCTATTGACAACTCATTCTTATACGTGGAACAAGACATTGAAATAAAACCTTCTGCCAAGTTGTCTGACAAGAAAGGTTGCAATGGAATTTTCTATGTCGGATACCAATATGCTCCAGAAGTTTTCATGGGATATAAGATATATTCTAACCCTGACTTAGTTCAAACAGTAACATGGGCAAACTATGAATGGTTCGCTTTGAGAAACTCAGTACAACCACAAGCTAGAGAACAAACAGACCAGTATGCAAATATTGAAAAAATAAGAAGACTTGACCCTAACGTTCCAGGAGTTTATGTTAACCTTTCTGGTTCAGATGGAACTGCTGCCACTAAAGTAAAACTGAAACTTAGAGTTCCTTTGTCATCTTTCCTCATCTTCAGGTTTTTAAGATACTTGCCAAACTGGGCAGGAAAAATTTCTATCGAACTTACTCCAAGCAAAAATAACTTAGTCATTGCACCAACACAAGACCCATTCACTCTTACAGACGTAAAGGGAACAAATCAAACGTCATTCGCCGACTTTTGCAAAGACAAAGTTGACTTAGACTTTGGTTTCTCAAACTTCAACAATGAAGTAAACTATTATTTCAATGCTGCTGGAACTGCTTGGGACCCAGTTAAGTTTACATGCGAAAAGTTTGAATGCAAGAGAATAGAAAGCAGACTTGCAGTCTATATGTTGGACCCAGATATTTCAAATGCTTTAGCTGCCAAATATATTGCAGTTCCACTTATGTTCCCTATACACCAAATATCTGTCAAAGACTTTGCAGGTGAAGTTGGAAACCAAAGTGCTGACCCAGGTGCAAGAACAGATATTGCTTTAACAACTGCAATGAAACATGCAGATACTATGTTTGTACTGTTCAGACGAACTATAAATGACTATTCTTGTTTCTACAACCCTGGTATTAAATATCATATAAACATAGATGGCAAATATTATCCAAGAGAAGAATATTCTACAGTTGAAGATATGAGGTCATACAACTTGACATTAGATGCTATGAACTTTAACAACAACTTCACAACAACCATTAACCCTGAAATGCAAAGTTCTATTATGCCATATGTGAAAGTATGGACTCATACAGGAGGTCAAAAAACTCAATATACAAATGGAGACCGTTCAAACTTTTGGCTTGGCATTCCATTTGCTGACTCAGAAGACTTTATGGGTGGTATTTCAACTGTTGGTACTGTACAAATACAATATACTGGTGACAGAGACGGTCCAGATGAATTGAGAGCAAAGAAGTTTACAAAACCAATAGCACTTTTCACGGAAGATGCTCTTTTGAAGATTCGTTCGATGAAACCTGCTGGGGCTCCTCAGATTGGCATAACGACAGCTTCCATCGAGCAGATTTTGGCAGCAGGTCAGTAAGTTGTTCTTTGACACTTTTCTCACCATCGTAAATAGTTATGACACCTGTTTTGACATAATATTGTATTATAAACTTTCCTTTAGTAATATCGGTCAGTTTTGTTGTTATATTTTTGTCTGCTTCAAGAACTTTCACCATTTCAGTTATACCAACTTTCTTTGCTTTATGAAAATATTTAGGTTCAGCAAAGACTGCTATTCTATAACATTTACCATTGTTTGTGTAAAGAACTATTCTGTCAATGTATTTGTATTGTTTGTGTGTGTAAACTTTGTTTTGCTTCAATTCGAAGAGATACTCGAATGCGTCCATATTTTTATTCTAAGTAAAATGTCATTTCCGAAAAATAGAAGCGTAAGTGTTTCAAAAGGTTTAATGGCGGTGGCAGATGTGAAGTTAAATTCACCAACTCAAACAAACAGTCAAAGTGTTATTGTCAATGTCAAAGACAGAGATGTTGAAGTGGGGAAACCATACGAAGACGAAGATGGTATAACAATTGTTCCTGTAAAAGAACCAACATATCCTGAAGTTAACAGAGACTTAAGTTCTGTTGCAGATATTCGAAACGACTACCAACAACTGAAAGACAAACTTCAAACTCAGGAGAAGATTTGTCAAGCTTTAGGTATAATGTTAAACTTGGTCGAACACAACCCTGTAAAAGTGAACTCATATGTCATTGCACCTCATGAAGTTTTGAAAGAACTATTGAAACTTTTGACAGAGGCAGACGATATAAACATCAAAGAAATAGAACCCGACATTAGTTGCTGTGGTGTTTCATATAATGCCATTGACAAGATATACGTTATGAAAGGAGGTGAAACGTTGAACTTAAAATATAGTTTCCCGGACGTTATAAAAATATTTGACGACCACAACATTTCATTAAAATTTATTTGCTAAGTAAATGGCAGAAGACATAATGGTTTATACTATTACGACTAAAAACCCCGAGTCATATAATTCTATAACAACAAACTTACAAAGTCCTCAAGGACGATATTGTAAACTAACCTTAAACACAATGACGACTAAAGCCTGTTTTGCTCTTTTGACACCAGAAGACTTTATTGTTGTGAATGGTAAAAAATACTCCTTTGAAGATATTTATTCAGATATACCACCAACAGGTTTTGTTGACTTATTTAATACTTTAAGTACGGGTGTAACATGTGCTGCAACTAGAGCAGGTTTCATTATGTTTGGATGTCCGACTGAGTTTACTATAAACGATATGAGCTATAATACAAAACTTATTTCTGGTTTTTACTACCAACAGTTTCCTATAACAGGAAAAGGTGTCATACAAGGAATGTCTATTCCATTGACATTAAGCACACCAATCTTATATATTGTTTCAAACTTAGGTTCAAAGTGTTATTCGAATGTCGACAGAAACTATTATGACCAAAAGATACTTATGCGTATAAACAATACTTTCTCTGCTGGTTTGCCTATTGTTCATTCGAATGCAGAATTTTCAACCTTAGTGAACTCAAACACTTTGGCAAGTATAACGTTGACATTAGTTGACGCAAACTTTGTTCCTGTAAAACTTTTATGTCCTATGTATTTGTCAATGACGGCAGAAAGTTTCGAATTGGAAGATGCAACTGGTGAAAGTATTGTATTACAAGAACAACTTCAACAACAAATAGCTCAAGAACAACAAATGCAACAAATGGAACAGGAAATGGTTCAAGAATAAAAAAAATATTTTTTTTATTTTTATAAAAATGTACAGAATAGATGTTTCAGATTTTTATGACTTCCAAGCATTCAGAAATATGTGTCCATTTAGAGACTATAACAAAGCAGTCGAGAATTTGAAACGTTTAGTCATTTATGTCGACTCTGCCCCAGAATGTTATGTTATGAAAGAATGGGATGTTGTCTTTAACAAACCAAGAGCAACAATAGTTTCAGAACAAGAATGTAGACAGAAACTTAAGAAAATAAAAGTCGTACAAGTTGGCATGAAGATGTTAGATGCTTGGGATATCTTATTGTCAAAACTTGAAGATTTTTCAGTTCGTGGTATAAAGTTCTATACACCATCTCCAAACTTCTATTCTATCTTCACTGGATATAAATACGAACAAGTAGAATGGAAAGAAAATATTATAGAAGCTTGGTTAGACCATGTCAAAGAAATTATATGCAATGGAAACGAAAAGGTTTATGAGTATATCTTATGTTGGTTTGCAAACATCTTACAACATCCAAGTGCTAAAAATGAAACTGCTCTCATTATAATTGGAAAACAAGGAACAGGTAAGAATACTTTCTTTACAGATATCTTATGCAAACTGTTAGAAGGTTATTCGAACCCTAATATGACAAACTTAGAAAACATCTGCGGTAAATTTAACTCTTCAATAGAGAATATGAAACTTATAGTATGTAACGAACTTCAAAGTATAGATACAACAAAAATTTTGAACTCAGATGCTTTGAAGAGTCTTATAACAGACAAAGTTGGAGTTGTTGAAAGAAAGTATAAAGACCAAAGAGTTTGTGAGAATGTTGCAAACTTCATTATGGTTTCAAACAATGCTGTTCCGATGAAGTTAGAAAGTTCTGACAGAAGATATGTAGTTGTCAGAACGTCAGATTCTCATATGCAAGATACAGAATATTTTGACGACTTAGCAGAAACTTTGACATCTGACTTTTACAACCACTTGTTCTCATATTTCATGACATTAGATATTTCTAAGTTCAATCCAAGACAAATTCCACATACCGAAGAGAGACAAACATTGTTAGAAGCAAACAAGAGTGTATATGAACTGTTCATAGATGAAACTGACTTTGAGTGTTTAGATGAAAGGTCATTGTACGATTCGTATAAACAATATTGTCAAGAATATGGTTATATGACAGCGTCTAAACGAACATTCTTGGCAAATGTCAAAAGTCTTTTAGACGTACAGAATGGTGTATATACAAAGAAAAATTTTTCTGAGTAAATTTAAAAAAAAATATTTTTTTATCCGATAGAAAAGATGACGAAATTCATCTCAGTAAACAAGTACATGTCAGGACTTAAAGAAGAACTAGACCCATTCACATATTTGAATGTTTACTTCTACCATTTTGAAAAGTCTTCATTCAGCAAAGTTTGGAACATCGAACCAGTTAAGTTTGCTATTGTGACTAAAAATGGTGCGAAATTTGAAGACTTAGACATAGAAGGTTTGTTAACAGTCAAAGAAAGTTTTGACAGAAGGTTTTCAAACCTTAAAGAAGGCAAAACATACAAACTTGTTATACCTTATGAACCAAAGAAGACAGACGACTATGAATATTATGAGTCTAAGATAGTTGAAGTTCAAGGTAAGTTGGGTAAAAAGATTTTAGAGTCTAAGCCGGTGTTTGCTCCTAAAGAGGAAGAGAACATTGACATTGACCCAGAAATGTTCTAAAAATAAAATTTTATTTTTACATGTCAAATTTCTTCTTCGGTGGAACTGGCTCTGGTTCAGGTTCTTTCTTCTCTTCTTCTACTTTCTTTTCTTTATTTTCTCTCTTCTTCTTTTCTGGTGGAGTTATGTCAAATTTCTCCGAACCATATTTTTGTAAAAGTTCTTTGTCCTTTAATAGCTCATCTATTCTGTTTTCTATTTCATCTTCAAGAACAGCGCATGTGTCTTCTTTGCATTCTAAGAAGTTTTGTTGGACTTCATCTCTCCAAGAGGCGTCATCTCTGTCAACAAGTCTGTCATTGACAAATTTTAAGACTGCTCTGCTTAATGTTTTATGGTTCTTGTCATATTCCCAGAAACAGAACTTTAGAACAAATTCACCTTTCTTGTTTACACTATGTAAGATTTTATGGTCGACAGATGTTTTGCTGTCGAAAAGCTTGTCTCGAATATAGATAGCGAAATCGCTAGACATTTTCTAAAAGATAAAAATTTTAATTTTTCTAAAAATATGTTAGAAAAAAAGTTTGCTGACATTGACAAAAAATTTGAGAATGTTTTAAATAAGAACAAGAGGAAGTTGGAAAATGCTCAGATAAAACCCATACATGACAAGTTCTTATTTGCTCAGAATGGTATAACAGGTCTAATTGCACCACCTGGGTCTGGTAAGACTTTCACTTATCTTAAAATGGCTGCACAACAACAAGAACTAGATGAGAAGAACCCATTCTATGAGTTAGTAGTCATTTGTAGTACTTCGGGTCATTTTGACCAAACCGTCAATTCGTTCAAAGATATTATAAAGAAGTCTAAGTTAGTATGTATAAAGGATACTGAGTTGTTGGATTGGATAAAGAAGTACCAAAGAAGAGTTTTGAAGTATAATGCTATAAATGAGTATATAAATTCGAAGTTTAAAGACCCAAATGAGGAAATGCAGAGAATATTAGAGAAGAAACACTTCAGAAACAAACAGAAAGAGATAGAATACATTTCGAAGAAATTGCAATCTTACGATTGGAAGACTTACCCTCACAGATGTCTTCTTATCTTAGATGATTTCGCCTCTCATCCTTTGTTAAAGAATAGAGAACAAGACATGTGTCGAATTCTTAAGAAGCTCAGACACTTTAACATTTCAGTCGTAATATGTGTACAGACAGCCAAGAGTTTAAGTAAGGATGTTAAAAGAATACTTACTGACATTATACTTTTCCCCGGATTGTCCGAAGACGATTTCATGGAACTTATGAAAGAGTCCATGGCAGGTAAGTTTGACAGACATGAACTATGGGAGAAGTATAAAGTCATACAAGACCCTCATACTTCTTTCAGAATTCATATCTACGCGAACAAAGTTCAAATTGTAAAAAGTCAAGCTTGAAAAATAAAGAGTTCATTTACTCTGCTTGTTTGAAGTTGTCAAAATACTCTGTTATTTTTTCCTTTAACAATGGCAAATCTTCTTTGAAGGTAAGTATTGTACAACCTTTAATATCATAGTGTGTTTGAGGTAACGTATCTTGAACTATTTGTTTCACATCTTCATTTGGGGTCATTGAAATCGGTAAGTTTTCGCGATAGAACCAATTTCTGTCAGATTTGTAAATCTTAGCAAGGTCGTAAAAGCTTTTGTTGTTTCTTCTGACTAAATGCAACATAACCATATCTTTATCTTCTTCATTTTCCATCTCTTCAGTATAAATCATATACTTATAGTTCTTTTCCTTACCTTTTGGTACCGAACGTGGTATTCTTTTCTGAATGCTTTTGTCTTTTGCTTCAATGACTTCATCTTTTGCTTGAAGTTTCTTTTCCATCTCTTCACGTTCTTGTCTATGAATTTCGTCAAGAAGTTTGTAAACATGCCATGCATAACGTGGGGAAGCCCACATTGCAACAGCATTTACTAATAGTCTATGAACATAATATCCTCTTAAATTTATTGGCAAATTTTTACGATTTTCATGTGTTTTATGCAAGGCCGAAGAAAGTCGGTCTAGAGAAATTTCACTCAAAAGTTCTTGTGTGCTTTGGTTTCTGAACCAGTCGTCTGCGTGTTTAGTATCTGGTGCAAAACATGCTGTCAAAATACTTTGCATTTGGTACATATCGTCTTTGACCGAACGAATGAGACATAACTGTTTGTTATACTGTATGTACTCGTATTCTTCATTTATAGCTTCATGGACTATAACTGTTGTTGTGTTCTCTGTTGTTGACATATCTGTCTTTATATTCCGGATAAAAAAAATAAATAAAATAAAACTAACTTTATTTTCTGACTTTCACAAAAGACCAAAAATAAACGCTTTACATGTATTTTTCAGCAACTTCGTCAAATAATTTTATAGCACTATCTATCTCATCTACTTCAAACGTTTCTTTACCTTTCATGGGAGCACCATACATTTTCTCAAACTTTTCAAGTAGTTCTGTTTCTGCAGCTCTCATATCGTTAACGAACACAACCTTGACTCTATTGACTGTACTGTCATATCTTTGAGTTATATTATATGTTCTTCCTATCTTATATCTCTTTGTATTGAAGTCCTTCGGTTTCTGAACGATATAAAGTAAGCCTTCACTGCAACGTTCCGTATCGAATGAACCATATGTTATGAAGTTATATCCAACAACTGGGTCTAACCATAACAAAACTATTGGTATAAGACTTTTGTCTATAAGATATGCTCTTGTTCCATGAAATGCTACTGATATCATAAGCTCAGGATTTCTTGTCAAAATTTTCTGAGTAGAAGCAATTCTAACCCAGTCCTTTGCTTTCTTTCCAGATGGTGTTATAATGTCTGACAAAGAATATTTGTTGTATTTCTTTGAGTATCTTACGTTTAAATCACCTATTCTAACCACTTTGGTGTCATTGTCTATCTTTTTAACTGTTTCAAACTCAACCTTTAACATTTCTGTTCCTACATACAAAATAAAAAAATAAATAAAAATAAAACTAACTTTATTTTTTCTATTTTGTATAAAAGATATGATTTCAGGGATTTTTTTGACGAAGTGTCAAAGTTCACTTCGTCAAAAATAACACAAAAATAGTGTATTTTAAACGAAGTGTCAAAGTTCACTTCGTCAAAAATAACACAAAAATAGTGTATTTTAAACGAAGTGTCAAAGTTCACTTCGTCAAAAATAACACAAAAATAGTGTATTTTAAACGAAGTGTCAAAGTTCACTTCGTCAAAAATAACACAAAAATAGTGTATTTTAAACGAAGTGTCAAAGTTCACTTCGTCAAAAATAACACAAAAATAGTGTATTTTAAACGAAGTGTCAAAGTTCACTTCGTCAAAAATAACACAAAAATAGTGTATTTTAAACGAAGTGTCAAAGTTCACTTCGTCAAAAATAACACAAAAATAGTGTATTTTAAACGAAGTGTCAAAGTTCACTTCGTCAAAAATAACACAAAAATAGTGTATTTTAAACGAAGTGTCAAAGTTCACTTCGTCAAAAATAACACAAAAATAGTGTATTTTAAACGAAGTGTCAAAGTTCACTTCGTCAAAAATAACACAAAAATAGTGTATTTTAAACGAAGTGTCAAAGTTCACTTCGTCAAAAATAACACAAAAATAGTGTATTTTAAACGAAGTGTCAAAGTTCACTTCGTCAAAAATAACACAAAAATAGTGTATTTTAAACGAAGTGTCAAAGTTCACTTCGTCAAAAATAACACAAAAATAGTGTATTTTAAACGAAGTGTCAAAGTTCACTTCGTCAAAAATAACACAAAAATAGTGTATTTTAAACGAAGTGTCAAAGTTCACTTCGTCAAAATAACACAAAAATAGTGTATTTTAAACGAAGTGTCAAAGTTCACTTCGTCAAAAATAACAGTTATATAATGAAATTTGTTGCTGAATTCAATAAAAATATATTTTAGGTGAAGCCAAACTGGGGCGTTTAGAAAAGAGGGCTTAGAGAAAAGAGGTTAGATCTAACCTTCTACCCTAAAATATATTTTTATTGAATTCAGCAACAAATTTCATGAATTTCCTCATATGCTTGCTACCCTCGAAAAATCGAGGATAGAGATTCCGTATGAAAATCGTGAAGAACAGCGAGTAGGTAAAAAATCTTACTCGCCAAAACTCTATGAAAACAGTGAAGAACAGCGAGACCGACTTTATTCGGGGTCGCTTAAAACTCATGAAAATCGTAAAAAATTGCCAAACGGTTTGAGAGGTTGGTATGTACATAGACTATTAGTAAATGCAGTTGCAATGTGG